CCTTTATCCAGAATCTGCGTTATACAGTTATACAGCCAGGAGACGTTCCCTGCGATGTCTGCACTGAAACCAAGCTAAAGGCGGCGAAGTCCTGCCTTGTGTACTTGGCTTCTTACTGTGAGACTCATCTGGAGCCCTATTTGACGGCATCGCGTCTGAAAAGGCATCAGCTCATGGAACCTGTGGAGGACTTGGAAGAAAGGATATGCGCACAGCACAGTAAACTGCTGGAGCTCTTCTGTCTGACGGACAACACATGCATCTGTTCTCTGCTCAATTTGAGACCACAAGTCTCATGAGTTCATTCCTCTAGGTGAGGAATGTGACAAAAAGAAATCGGTATCGATACATTGATCATCAGTCATCATACATCCTATTGGTTTCATTTTGTGATTTTTACATACAGTGAAATGATCTTAATCTAACTTTCAAAATATAGATGGTCAGAGATTCTATCAAATGTTTTAGTGATATATTTGAATATACATTTGAATGTGTCATATTTTTTGAAACATCTTGAAGGCTAATTATATTACTACTTATGTTCCAGAAACCACTGTGTTGATGAAGACACCTTAATGGAACTGAGGACATGAAAAAATGAGGGGTTCTAACAGCAACTATATGATTACCTGAATGAATACGACTTTGGTTTCATCAAAATAAAAGTAATTTTAATTTTCTTAAATGTCCTGATTTTAGAATATAGTATATTAGTCATGACCTCGTGAAAGAAAATCTGTCTGCAAGTTAATTCAAAAACTATGTTTAAAAGGGGAGTGAGAGGTCGCGCGAATGTGTAAGGTAACAAAAAAGATGTTTATTTGCTGATGAGGACGAGCCATGATATTGTTTTTCGTTGCATCTGCTGCTGAATCCATATTTAGCGCAGATGGGACGTTTATTCCAGCGGATCGTCTGGGAGCAGTCCGCCTCAAGCAGCGGGGAAGCGGTGTGTTTACATCCGCGGAAAACGCTCCTCTTAAAAATCACTGGATCGCTTCAGCGCAACGTTTTCACCGTGATTATGTCTCTTCATTTGTCTGCTACTAGAAACGTAATTATTACATGCAACTTAAGATAGTTTGGGATGTTTTTGGAGGCGAAATTCGAAGAAAACTCCCAGCAAGAGGCACAACGAAGGCGAGAATCTGGCCGCTTTAAAGGCTCCTGGAACAAAGGAAAAAAATGATGGGTGTCAAACATGAGCTCAGTCTGAAGAACGGAGACTTTTATATCTGCTTTAGTAACTTTGGTCTTGTAAGATGCTTGTTTTCGGAGTATTTTGAGACTAAATGTTGGCGGAGAAAACACAAAGTGGAGCCGCTGTTCGAGGCGGCAGCAGAGCAGCGGACCGAGTTGTCTCTTCACGGTTCTCATGTGTGTTATAAGTCCCGCCTCCCGCTCTGAGCTCGGTACGTTCAGAGGAACAACCCAGTCCGACAGACATGGCAGAGGAAGCTCCAGCAGCCGCGCCGGCCAAGGCTCCGGCCAAAGCCCCGAAGAAGAAGTCCGCTCCCCGGCCCAAGAAGGACGGACCCAGCCTCCCGAAACTCATCGTGGACGCCGTGGCCGAGTCCAAGGAGCGCAAGGGGATGTCCCTGTCGGCCCTCAAGAAGGTGCTGGCCGGGAAAGGAGTGGACGTGAGCAAGGCCAACAAGCGCATCAACACCGCGGTGACCAAGCTGGTCACCAAAGGAACCCTGAGCCAGACTAAGGGCACGGGGGCCTCCGGCTCCTTCAAGCTCGCCAAGGAGCCCAAAGCCGCTAAACCTGCCAAGAAGGTGGTGAAGAAGAAGGCTCCCGTCAAGGCCAAGAAGCCCGCCGCCAAGAAGACCACAGCAGCCAAGAAACCCGCCGCTAAGAAACCTGCAGCTGCCAAGAAGTCCCCGAAGAAGGCTCCGGCTAAGAAAGCTGTGAAAAAGCCCGCAAAGAGCCCCAAGAAGGCCGCGGCTGCCAAAAAGCCTAAGGCAGCTAAGAAACCCGCAGTCAAGAAAACTACAGCCAAAAAGCCCGCAGCGAAGAAGGCCAAGAAATAAACAGCTGCTTCAACCCGCACTCAGTGCACCAAAAGGCTCTTTTCAGAGCCAACACTTATTCTCTGTAGAGCACATCCTGTCCTTGCATTGAATTAACCAGGGACAACGTTAATCCCTTAAATATAGACGACACAGTTCTAACAGCTTTTTATTTCTGCGTGTAACCACATAGAGATTTTGTCGTTACTACTATATATAAATACCTCTAATAACAATCACAGTGAAACTATTTGATTTAATCTGCCAACAGATCCAATTACTTTTCTCTTAGAATTACACCTACCTACTACTGCTACCTATAACCAAGCCACATTTTGAGATTGTACGCATTTTTATTTCAAAATGTAGTTATTTGTCAAAATGTATTCAAAGAACAATTGTACAATTGCATGTTGCTGCCATTGATGAGCAGCCAAAAATCAACTCAAACTGCATGCACTTGATTTAAGAAATGAATAGCTCAGATTGAACTGATTCAGTTGCAACTGAAATTTTTATTTCACTTCCACTGAAAATACATAAAAAAGGCTATTTATTATGACTGAAAGCGCTTAACACATTCTGTGTGAGGAACAAATGATCATTTGTAAAGATTTAATTAAAAATGCGATTTACTTAAATATATTTTTAAGATTTTTAATTGAACATTAGAAAAATGTTGAATTCGATAAGCAAATAAAAGGTACTCTTCAGACAATGAATTAAAATAAATTACACCAGGAATCCAAAATAAAAAGGCAAATTAAGGAAAATACGAAGTTTTTCAGCCGTTTTCAATGACGTGACTGGCTCTGTTAAGCTCGGTTCCTCTCCTGTTCTCTTTCACGTCCGCAGTTCACAGATATAGGCGGTGCTTCATCCATGTAGCTCTCATTATCGCTTCAGACTTTTCTAGAACGATACCACCATGAGCGGCAGAGGAAAAGGAGGCAAAGGACTCGGTAAAGGAGGCGCCAAGCGTCACCGTAAGGTTCTCCGTGATAACATCCAGGGAATCACCAAGCCCGCTATTCGTCGCCTGGCTCGCCGTGGTGGGGTCAAGCGTATCTCCGGTCTCATCTACGAGGAGACCCGCGGTGTGCTCAAGGTCTTCCTGGAGAACGTCATCCGTGACGCCGTCACCTACACCGAGCACGCCAAGAGGAAGACCGTCACCGCCATGGACGTGGTGTACGCTCTCAAGAGGCAGGGCCGCACTCTGTACGGCTTCGGAGGTTAAACTGCTCCGTCATATTGACAAAACAACAAAACGGTCCTTTTAAGGGCCACACACATGTCTTTTAAGAAGCTAATTTCCTGTCTAACTTTAATAAAAGCTACATCTATTGTAAGCCAACTCCTTCAGCTGCGCTTCATATATACTCAAACTACTTAAAGGTAAATGACCTTTTAAGGGCCACACACATGTTCTAACGAGCTGAATTTCATCTGGTTTTCTACCTCCAACTTCCAAGGGAAACTAAAAGCTACAATGACTGTAATTCCTAGGTAACATGAAACTGGCAAGGCTGCAGTTTACTTTCTACAAATCTATTTAAATTTATTGCACAGTCTGTTTAAAACTATAACGTGTTCACAATCTATATATTTATCAGTTGACTTGTGTTATTTAAATGGATAGCTGACTTTGGCTGTGGGTTGTTCCACATTGTAAAATATTTAGACTCAACTATTAAAGTACAAACTGACACTTGTTCCAATGACTCTGCTTTCATAGCTACTGAACTACCAAATAATTGGACCACTATGAATATTTAAATGCAAAAAGCTAACTGGTGCACATCTGTCAACATAGCTTAACCCATAAGGAAGATTTTAAATAAAATGAAAATAAAACCACACTTTGAAAACAAAGGGGAAATGCAAAAAAAATATTTATACAGAGGTACTTCAAATCAAAAATCTGGAAATAGGAAATCTAAATGAGGTCCAAATTATAATTGTACGAAATTGTGGTTCTGATTGAGAAATTGAGTTTTAGGTTTTACCATCAATAACAGGAAACAGCTTTAAGATATCTAAATGCATGAATAAATACAAAAATATAACAATGTGACATTCTGAATGGAGTGGTTAAATGTTTTACAAGTCAACTTACACTGTATTCTCTAGATGTATTAGTGGTTATGAATAGTGATTACTATGTGCACCATATGAAAGGTTGTATAGGCACAGTTGAGATGCTATTATGTTATCCCCAGTAACATAGGTATGATTTCAGAGTATCAAATCTGCGGTCATGTCTCAACCCCCTCTTCTGTTTCCTCTTCTAGGTTTGATCCAGTCATTGTTTAATGAAGACAGGATATTTAGACTTTATGCATTAGTATGTCAAACATTTAGCTTGACACAGTCACTGCATGTTTTTCTTTTCTAGGTTTTAAAGAAACAAGAAACTTCAGTTAGTTATTCAATTAGGCCAGGGGTCCCCAAACTACGGCCCGCCACGTCATTTGGTCCGGCCCCCTGAACAATGCCGGATCCGGCCCGCCTCCTCATGCCAGACAGCATTCAGTGTTTTTTTTTTTCATATATTGTATTTTCCGGTTTATATTTGAATTTTTCTTCAACCACCAGGGGGGCTCTTGAGCAGATGTGAAACTAATTTTCCCTCAATGAAAGATATAGTAGTCAGTCCCAGTCACCGTTTCACTCACGGTTTTTCCATTTGCATTCTGGGTAAAAATCTATCTAAAAGCGCGAATGTGTCGCCCCCCCCCCCCCCCTCGACAGTTTCACAGACAGAACAGCCCCCCCCCCGACAATAATTTTCTAAGGTTTCTTTCTCCAAAAACTAAGACCGGCCCCCGACCAGAGAAAGGAACAGCTATGTGGCCCTCGCAGGGAAAAGTTTGGGGAACCCTGAATTAGGCTTTCATAAGAATTGTTGTGCCATTATTCAATTAAAGCCCAATTAAAAGTGACCCATAATCATAAGTCTTTAAAATTAATGTGACAATTAAAATTTTAATTCTTAAAGTGAAAAATGTAATATCGTCAAAGCAGCAGCAGCAGTCCAAGCTCTCAAAATAAAGTGTGTGGCTCTTAAAAGAGCCGTTGTTCGTTTTCAGCGGGTATCGGGAGTTTACTTGGCCTTTGCGGGCTTCTCGGTCTTCTTGGGCAGCAGCACCGCCTGGATGTTGGGCAGCACTCCACCCTGAGCGATGGTGACTCCACCCAGCAGCTTGTTGAGCTCCTCGTCGTTGCGGACGGCCAGCTGCAGGTGACGGGGGATGATGCGGGTCTTCTTGTTGTCGCGGGCGGCGTTCCCAGCCAGCTCCAGGATCTCAGCGGTCAGATACTCGAGCACAGCGGCCAGGTAGACGGGGGCTCCGGCACCGACCCGCTCGCCGTAGTTGCCTTTGCGCAGCAGCCTGTGAACACGGCCCACTGGGAACTGGAGTCCGGCTCTAGAGGAGCGGGTCTTGGCCTTAGCTCTGGCTTTTCCTCCGGTCTTTCCGCGGCCACTCATTTTGTTGTTGCTTCTTAATGGAGATGAGACTCGAGAAAGAAATGAGAAGCAGCGGCTGAAAGCTGCTTTTTATGTCCGCGGAGAGGAGCGGGATGATGCAGGCGACCAATCAGAAAAGCTCCCAGCAGAGCGGGACGGAGAGGCGGACTTTTTAAACGCGGCTTCCTCCAATGAGCGGCGGACATTAAGCCGGGAGGAGACGCCTCTGGGCGGCGCTGAGCTCCAGGAGGAGCCGCTAACCAACCAGGATCCGGAGCGGAGCCGCAGCGTCACAGAGTGACGCCCAGAGCCTCGGCTTAAGAGCAGCGGAGCCTCGGCGGTTTGCATCATTTCTCTCCTGATCGTGATCAGAGAACAGAAGCATGGCCAGAACCAAGCAGACCGCCCGTAAATCCACCGGAGGCAAAGCCCCCAGGAAGCAGCTGGCCACCAAGGCGGCCAGGAAGAGCGCTCCGGCTACCGGCGGCGTGAAGAAGCCTCACCGTTACAGGCCCGGTACCGTGGCTCTGAGAGAGATCCGTCGCTACCAGAAGTCGACGGAGCTGCTGATCCGCAAGCTGCCCTTCCAGCGTCTGGTCCGAGAGATCGCTCAGGACTTTAAGACCGACCTGCGCTTCCAGAGCTCCGCTGTCATGGCTCTGCAGGAGGCCAGCGAGGCCTACCTGGTGGGACTGTTCGAGGACACCAACCTGTGCGCCATCCACGCCAAGAGGGTCACCATCATGCCCAAAGACATCCAGCTGGCCCGCCGCATCCGCGGAGAGAGGGCTTAGAGGCTGCAGCTCCAACTAACACACAACGGCTCTTTTAAGAGCCACACACACCTTCATTAAGAGCTTGTTCCCCCTTAATTTAACACATTACCACCATAGTTACACTATTGTGAACTTTACTGTGTTTTTAGAAGCAGTTTTACAATGAAAGACTAAGCATTCAAATTTCCAAAGGATATGTTAGATTGAATGAAGTATAAGGTCAAAAATATAGAATTAAATCTACATCTGTTATCTTTACAGTATTTCACCCTCACTTCATTTAATACTTCTAAAAAGAAAAAGTGGCCTGTGAGAAATTTGCAACCCTTGGAGTTTCAGGGCCCAGATCCAGAATAGTAGTATTGTACTTTAGCACACAAGCATGGAAACAAATGTCTGAGAAACTTTTTTTTCCCAAAATTGGGTAAAACCAAATGCATCTTTACTTTTAATTTTCTAGTCAAGATATTCAACTAGGCTTAGACAATCCTATTAAACCTGCCATAGGACGTTTTGAAACCCTATTCTAGTAGCTGATTGACTTTTTCCTTTGGTCAAAATACATTCAGCCTTAAATACATTAAACAGCATTCAACTATGCTTCTACATGCAAAGATGTGAATTGAAGAAATTTGATCTTACCCTACATAAATATACTTAATGCTATTTTAGTTTAGGCTAGTGGTTAAATAGAATATTGTTCAGTTCTTATGAGACAAACCCACTGTGTTCTACTCTTACTATAGACCTTTTGTGTCTGGAATTATGATACAATTGTACATCAACCATAAACCTTAAGTCATTTATTTCAATCCATAAGGTTCTGTTTATGTGGCATCCTTTATACAGATAAGAATCGCTCTTCAGATGTAGTGAGTGGCTCTTAAAAGAGCCGTTGGGTTTGTGTGTTAACAGCAGAGCTGTTTACTTGGAGCTGGTGTACTTGGTAACCGCCTTGGTTCCCTCGGACACGGCGTGCTTGGCCAGCTCACCGGGCAGCAGGAGGCGCACAGCAGTCTGGATCTCCCTGGAGGTGATGGTGGAGCGCTTGTTGTAGTGAGCCAGACGGGAGGCCTCGGAGGCGATGCGCTCAAAGATGTCGTTGACGAAGGAGTTCATGATGCTCATGGCCTTGGAGGAGATCCCGGTGTCGGGGTGGACCTGCTTGAGCACCTTGTAGACGTAGATGGCGTAGCTCTCCTTCCTGGTCCTCCTCTTCTTCTTGCCTCCTTTGCCGGCGGTCTTGGTGACCGCTTTCTTGGAGCCCTTCTTGGGCGCAGACTTGGCGGGTTCCGGCATGTTTCCTCACTGGATCTAACAGCAACGAATGACTCGCTGTTCGCGGTCAGGTCGGTATTATACACCCTGCATGCAAATAGAGCTGTGTCATCCCCCAGCTGTGATTGGCTGTTTGGCTCACAGGGTAAAGTAGGAAGTGCTGAGTTCAAAAAGAAATCACGTGGGAATTTTAAACTTTGCGCGCGGCGAGAATGAAAGAAGCGGGAAATCCTGACGGTTCCTCATTGTTCTCAGCTTAAAGTCTGTAAATGTTTATTTATATAACATCAAATCACAATAATTGACGTTGTTGTGAATAGATAATTTAATCCATTTAAATCAATCAAAACATGTTCATACATATCCAGAAAATAAGTAGTTAGCTTAAAGACTAAAACCATTCAAATTATTTAAAAATGAGCTTTATTAGACAATATCTAAAGCATTGTAAATTTCTTGTAAGAAGGTATCAAACATCAAATATGATGCAGAAAAAAACATTACGTGAAGATTTTTTTTCTACACGGTTGCTGGAGCAGGTTAAATGGTCTGAGTGGAACAGAAGCATTTCTGAAGTGTTTCTAATCACCTCTCAGTCAATCCAGATTGAGATATTAAATTGCTTGTCAGACCAATAATCCGGAGCAGCAGGAGAGCAGGTAACTTTGGGCTGTTTATTGGTTTGGGGTTTCGGCTCATAATGAACAGGAAGGCACCTGTTGCCGACTTTGTCACAAGCCACGGTCACATTTTGTTCTGTTTTCCTCGGGGTCGTTTTAACTCTGCATTTTTTTTTTGTCACTTTCACCACATACACCGGCAGTGTTATTTTACTCGTGCACAAGTTGTCCTGCTGGTTCCAGCCGTTGCCGTTGCAGATTTTTACAACAAGATCCCTGTTTGAGTGCTCAAAGAAGGTCTGAGTTGGTTTTCCGCAGCGATCCAAGCTTTGTATATGGCTAGGGAAACAAATATATTATCAAAAAATATTCATATATTTCATTAAAAAATGGGTTTTCATGATGTCCCAAGTCTTTCAGATGAACTTACATAATGAATGTAGCTATCCAGTATATAAAAAAGGTATGTGTCAAAAAAAAATTGGGTGGCGTATGAGCAGTTCTGACAAAGTTTAAAAACAAATGTTTGTATTTATCCTGTATCTTTTGTTTGATGCTCAAATTTGTTTGATGACCTGAAACACAATATTGTTTGTCTTATTTGAAGCAAAAACAAAAATAAATATTTCAGGAGGCAAATTCATTTCAACCCCCCCCAGCCCCCCAACTCTCCTTGAGTCTGATTTAGAGTATATTTGATTTGAACTTAGACTGAACAACTGTCTGGTATGAGGTGTGAGGCTTAAAATTAATTTTTAACTTTAATATTACAGAGTTATTCTTTCATAGGTTACTAATGAAGTTTACTCTCACCTTTTAATCAAAACATTGACTTGACAGTCAGTAACTCACCTCTCCCATTCAGATTTTGAATTAGTATCAAAGTTTTCTGGAAGGATGTGATTTTTTTCAAATTTCTTGAAAGCTTGTGGCTTATTGGTCGGCTGACAGGGGTGTCCGTTGTGTAAATCCTCGTCTCCCACAGCACAGCTGCACATGACAGCGATCAGCAGGATGACTTGCATTTTCTTGTCTGAAGAAGCAGAAACTCAAAAGTTACTGAATGCAATTCAAAAGGTTTGTCACTTTGCTGTCGCGTTGTTGCTCTGAACGTCGGAGCCCTTTGAAGTTGGATGTTAAAAAAATCCTAAATCATAATTTAAAAAGATGTTTCATTAAAGATGTTTTATTATTGATTAGAAATAATCCATTTCAGATGCAAATTATAACTCAGAGGAGATATTTACTCACCTTTCACGATCGGTCCGTCTCTACTGTTGGTCTTGAGCGGTGACAGGAGGAGGTCAGTGTCCACCTGCTGAAGTTATAGTCAGTTACCATGACCACCAGGCATCCCGGCTCGGAGCAAACAGCCAATCAAATGACTGCATGTTAACCTATGACTTTAGTCTGTGGTCATGAGCTAAAAGTTTTCACATTGCTGACTGGAATCAAGAGCTTGTTTTGTTGACATTTCACCATTGTGGCGAGCAGCGATGTGACTGCGGGTGGAACATTGTGGCTAACACACTTTTCTTTCTTTCGTGGGAAAATCACTTAACCGGTTTTGGGGTAGGGGGTGTAATGAGCGTGGGGTAATAGTTCAATGAATTTAATTGTACTTTCTTGTATTGCAAATTCAGCTTTTGAAAAAGTAACCTTGAGTTTTAGCTTTGAGGTAATTGTTGTCTTTGAGAAGATGTGAGCTCCCGCTGTTTTAAGCTCTGGTTCACCCATTGCTCATCAGGCCTTTTCAACAAATGTCGTACTACTTCAGTTCAACTTTTTAACTGTGCATTTGCTTTGAAGAAGTGGGAAATTATAAAAATGCAAAAGTGTTAAATGGGGAAAGGAGTGAAGTTACTAGCATTTCACCAAAGGTTTCAAATCTTTTAGCAAGCTAACAATCAAACCAAGCAGGGGGCTTTTTAAATATGTCATTTGGTTTCTTTTGAAAAGAACAGGAAGCCAAAGGTCCTTACTGCACGTAGTGAAGGTGAAGCATAGTCATGCAAAGCAGTTGCATGATTACATGATAAAATGTTGTTGAACTGTGAGCCACAGAGCTAAATCATGACTAGAAAGAAGGGGGTTTAATGTTAGACAGGCATTTGGGTCTGAGCAATTATTTTCAATTTTACCTGCAACTCATCTACGATTTGATGTCACAAAGGGAGTCTTCGCTTTCTTACTTTGATTTGGGACCAAAATTGCAACATTGTTACATATCCGTATGGTGTGGTTCACTTTCAAACACTGCGTCCAACGCCTGTTCACCTCCTCACCTGTGGTGGCGCTGCACTACAAACCACTGAAGGAAACAACATAAAAACCTTTGAACAAGACACTGAGCACTACTTGTTTTTGAAATGCGAATGGCGTCAGATTTTAGGGGGTTGTTGGATTTCTCTTTTGTCTTTGGACAATTTGCCGGTGACACTCCTTAAAAATGGGCTCAGCACAAGCCATTTTTCTCACTAGTGCCAGACGTGTGTTTGTTTTGGTTGTGTTGACCCAGAACACAAAATATTTGGAGTGATCTCCAAAAAGCAGGACCGTGTACCGTGTACCGTGGCGTCCAGGTCGACGCCACGGTACATTTCAATCGAGTTGAGACCGGGATTTATAGGTGGACCAGAGTTTGCTTTTGTTTGGTTCTCACCAGAATTCAAATGTGTGTTCACACATACCCAGACAAACCAGATTTTCTTGGCATACGGACTACAGTTGGATTAAAGTGGACTAAAACAGAACGTAACCTCAGACAGTCAGAATAGTGAGCATCGGCTGCAACACAAAAGTGGAATAAAATCCAACATTTATATTTTCATAACTTTGATTGTTTTAACATAATCCAAAAGAGTCTGATACAAAAAGAACAAAACTGCTCTATTTAAAGGTTTATTCTTTCTCCCTAAAAATACGCTAAGGTGACTTCTTTCTATTTGTAAGGACACCAGAAAATGGGCAGAAAAGAATATTAAAGATATTTTTGGGTTGGAATTAGTAATGTTTTCTTCATTCACTTCATTCTTTCATGTTTTGCTTTTTATAGACGTTCTGGATACTTCATTAGGCACACTTATTTATTTTGCTCACAGTAAAAACAGAAAAGGAAAGGAGGTTTCCATCATGGTGCTCATTTTGTTCCATCATAATCAACAGCAAGCCTGACTCAGATTCCACAGTATTTGTCAAGCTAATGCTAGAAACTAGCTCAGCAGCACCTGCTGTTTGGTTTCTGTGGTTTCTTCTTCGAATGAACAGGAAGGCCGTGGCCAACAGCTTTCTCTCACAAGACACGATCACACGTTTCTTCAAATGTTTTCATCTTTCGATTGCGTAGGGTCGAGCGTTTGAGACACGTCCCGGAATTTTTTGTAATTCCTAGTGCAAACAGCGCAAAATTACTCAAATTTGGACAAAGCACAGACCTGGCACGGTTATATTCGTACCACATTTTTCAGCCATTATTAGACTATAATCTACACATCTTATGGTTCGTTTTTGCTAAAAGTTGATCTCTTCTCAAAACCTATTTCCTATTTTTACTTTCTGAACTACTTCAAACCTTTGTCCTCACATTAAAAAGAACTTTGCTCTAATTTACCACAACATGTCTGCTCTGATTTAATGCTTCATGCACAAATAATCTCTCTTCTTGCATTAATCCTTTTCCAAATATCCAAACTCTGTCCATGTGAAGCTTTTGTTCGCTCTCAAGGGCCCATTATTGACTCTTCCAGCCAATAACATCATTTCCTTCTTTTGGGGGTGGGCTTCCTGCACCGTATTGTTGTGACGGGCAAATGCTTTACAAATTAAAAATGAACTTTAATCATGATTTACTTTATTACCGTTGAAATAAGTTATCTATTTTATCAAATTTCTGCATTGGTTCTGCTCTGATGTCACCAAACTTGAGTCAAGTTGGTGACAGTAATTTCATGTCACAGCTTGTCATTCTGTTGGCTGGAAAAGTTACTAATTCACGATGAACATCACTTAAATGTGTAGGTGTGTGCATACATATGTAAAAGGTCACAATGAGTGGACCTTAGGTAAACTGAAAGGAAGCAACAATCCAAAAATAACTCTGGCCCAAGAATGATTGTTTTTGCCTCAGTTCTTGGTGTTTTAACATTAGGACATTTTAATAACTTTGTTAGTTGAATATCAGCACAGAAGAAATTGCAGGATACTCAGAACTGAAGAGATTTGTGTTACTGCAGAAAAGCTACATAGATGCTATTTTGACACAGCATGTGCTCATCAATTCCCACACTTTAGATTTCATAACAGCATCCGACCTTATACATCATTCATGTAAATTAATGCATCACATACTCAAGTCAGGAAGTTTTCTTACTCTGCTGTAATACTTATGCGTGTTCATATTGGTTTACCGTAGGAAACAGAGGATTGCGCTCAAATGAGGAAATCCAGCTCGTTAGAACATGTGTGTGGCCCTTAAAAGGACCGTTTTGTTGTTGTGTCAATATGACGGAGCAGTTTAACCTCCGAAGCCGTACAGAGTGCGGCCCTGCCTCTTGAGAGCGTACACCACGTCCATGGCGGTGACGGTCTTCCTCTTGGCGTGCTCGGTGTAGGTGACGGCGTCACGGATGACGTTCTCCAGGAAGACCTTGAGCACACCGCGGGTCTCCTCGTAGATGAGACCGGAGATACGCTTGACTCCCCCGCGGCGAGCCAGACGGCGGATAGCGGGCTTGGTGATTCCCTGGATGTTATCACGGAGAACCTTACGGTGACGCTTGGCGCCTCCTTTACCGAGTCCTTTGCCTCCTTTTCCTCTGCCGCTCATGGTGGTATCGTTCTAGAAAAGTCTGAAGCGATAATGAGAGCTACATGGATGAAGCACCGCCTATATCTGTGAACTGCGGACGTGAAAGAGAACAGGAGAGGAACCGAGCTTAACAGAGCCAGTCACGTCATTGAAAACGGCTGAAAAACTTCGTATTTTCCTTAATTTGCCTTTTTAATAGTCTTCCTTACATTATTATTTTTGGTTTATACCGGTATTGTTAAGATTTACTTATGTGTAGGTTTATATCTACACATGCATCCATGTTTGTATGTTTCCAGGGGCCACATTTTGGACACCCCTGAACTAAACCATCCATTGTGGCTCTGGGTTGGTTCTGGTCATTGTTTATTTGTTTGATAAGCAAGAACATTTAGAAGGTTTTCATTCAGGACTGTCCTGTATGATGCTTAATTTACCTTTTCTATCCAGCTTCCCTGTTCTTGTTGAAAGCACCACTTACTAAGAAATGACACACGTGCAGCTTCTATGTGTATATGAATGGATGAAGAGCTGATAAACTAGATAGAGCTCCTCACAAGGACAGGCCATTTAATATTTTATTTCACTGTGCGTCTACATAAGCACACAGCATTTTGGAATAAGGCTGAAAGCAAAACGCAGTTAAGTATTTTTCATCTATTTCTTAGAACACAGAAGCCTCTTCTCCAAACTGAGAAAGCTTGCAGAATATTCCAGATGAAGATGTCAGGAAACCAATTTCTTTACAGCATTTTTTAAAAATTTACTACAACACAGCTTATCTGTGTAAGCTACAGGTGGTAAGCATAAACATATTCTCATGTTTGGCCTAGATAAATAAATGTATCTAGGCCAATGGGCATTGGCTTAGATAAATACATATTTCAGATTAACCCTTGTGTTTACAAATGGGGTCCAACCAACCACACACACGTAAAACCTGTATCATTTGCCTCAGTCCTCGCACGCACAAGGGTTAAGACAAAACAGCACCATTAATTAGTGCGCTGAAATATACCATTTATGCAGCTTTAAGGACAAAATGTTCTTGTGATTTCTTCAACTAGGCATTTTTAATTTGCACTAAAAGAAAAGACAGAATTTTAGATGTGATTAATCTAAAATGAAATCTGAGAGACTGTAACATAAGCAAACTAACAGCACTTTCAGTTCCTCCTGGAACTAAACTGGGTTAATGAAATGCATTCTGGGATTAGTAGTTTCTATACCTGTGTCTTTGTTCTTTGGAGTTCAGTCTTTCATGGCTGAAGGTACAACTTTGAAGGCAGCAGGCTGGGACTCAAACCCAGGACCTTGTTCCTGGCTTGCAGAAGAAGGTCTGCAAGGCAACTGTGTTACCAACTTTGCAACTGGTTTCTCTAAATTCTCATTACATGTGTGTGTGTGCATATGCATGTGTGTGTGTGTGTGTTCCGTCTCTGTGTTGCCCTGCGATGGACTGCCGACCCTTCCAGGTCAGACCCTCTGTGTGACCTGTACCACTCTACAAAGGGACAGGCCTCCATAGCTAGCCTGTGGTGACTATCAAAGTGTGTGGTAGATAATGGATGGATGCTTAAACTGTGATGCTTAAACATCTGTGTAAACATCTTGTAAATTGTAAACATCACACAGATGCTTGCAATTTAAGCATCCGTGTGATGCTTAATCAAATGTAATCAAGCTTTTTTTTTATTCATTTTTTATTTGAGATAAGATATTTCTTTTCAGAGGAACAAGCTAAAACGTACAAAAGTGTACCATTATTTGAGGTACTATGCTGTAGGTTCCAACTTAAGACTGTTCGTGTACTTCAGTTCCTCTGTAAGTATGTTGGTGTTTTGGCTATAAAAACATGCAAATTGTGTTGTTGATGCAAGCAGAAATGCTTGAGAATTTACTCATTATATCTGATGTTCTTTAAACAGCAACACCAACTCTAGCCACTTCCTTAATTTGACTCATTTGCAGTATTCTCACCAACTTATCACATGCTCAGTTCAGCGGGTCCAACAAAAGTATAAGGAGGTAAGACTGTTATTCTCTAGCAGAGATGGGTTATACATGCCTCGTCTGCCAAGTTTGTCTTTACTTCTCGTTTATAGTAATATGTAGTCTTATTGTGAAAGTCTCTTCTTCAAGTCTGATTATGACAGAACAACTTATACATCATGCTGTAACAAAATATACAGAAACATTGAACTGCAATGAATTAGGCATACTTAACTTGTATAGTGTTCACATATATTTTGTGTTCTCGCTGTTTGAAGCTAAAGTAATTGACAGATGGTTTTAGTTCCTCAATGTTACCTGATGAACATGAGATTAAGTTACGTGTTAAACTATTGACAAATCCACAAAACAAATTTCGAGTTCTGTGTTCAAAATGTTGCTACAGCTCTATATAAGGCACAAACAGTATATAACATGGAGAGAGCATATTATAGCAACTGACTTTGTTGCTGTGAGGAATCAGGAAGTAGTTTGTAGCCCCCCACCTCGCCCCAAATGAAGGATTATGGCTTTACTGATGAACAGTGAGGTTTATCGGAAGTAAACTCTGAGTTTCACCGTAAGAGCTGTATGCACAAACACAAAAAGGACAGCTCCAAAAACACACTCTTACCGTAGCGTTTCAACTAAAAATAATGTTCACTACTAAAACTATCAACTACCCTAGTGTTTGTATACAATAAAACAAATTCACATTTTCAATCAATCAACATTAGAACCATAATTATTTACAAAATAAAACATACCCCGTGTCTCTATCGAGAGGGCCGCTAATAAGATACATTTTTATAACACTGTTGCAATTTGTCTTCCGTTCTTTTCCGTCGTTAAGCTGCCGTTTTATAACATGTATAGCGGAAGTTGTATCATCAAAATAAAAGCATCAAATCAAACAGCCGGAAGTCAAGCATATACTATACAAAATAAAACGAAGTAAAGGCAATAAGTGCTAAAGAGGTGATACAACAAATAAGGAGCTTCATTTGGGGTTATTTACATAATTAGTGTCTAGAAACCAGAGATAAATGTAGAGTCCAAGGTGTGGGGCAAGACAAACCAATGACTAGGCCGTCATGGTATGTTTGACATCTGCTAAAATCAAATAATGATACACTTGATCTGACTCGGGTATTTAAAGTGAATGTCGTTAACACGCAAGATGACAAAAGTAATTTGAAAGTTTGTATACTGTCGTTCTACCGTAACGTCTGTAAGAGTCTCATAGCAGAAATGAGATCAGAAACATCAGCTGTATTCTGACAAATGTTCTGACTAAATACAGTTTTGCTGAGAGAAACTAAAGGATCATATTTCTGTCATTTGCTTTTCTGTTAGTTATTAGTCCAGCTAGGGATTTATTAAAAGAAAATAAAGAATGATTCCTCATAATGAATCATTATGTTGTTAATAATGTGTTTCAGATGTGGAGGCTGCAGAAGGAAAACAAGTCATTCATAAAAAAGTTGGAGATTCTGTGGAGCTTTTATCAAATTTACCAGTTGAAGGCGTCACCAGGGCAACATGGAAATATGGAGACTCACCAGTAGCAAACAAAGTTTCAGGTGTTATTTCAACCAATCCATTTAAGAACAGAGTGGAGTTCAATAACACAAGCTTTAGTTTAACAATAAGAGACCTGAGTCTTCAAGATTCTGGTGAATTCAGTTTTACATCATTAACAGACAAACAAAGACCTACAGTCTTCATCACTCTGCAGGTTCACGGTAAGATGCTGGTTTTGTTCACAACCTTTACAAGAAATGTAAAAAAACAACAACAACAAAAAAAAACAAACTGAATGTTTATAATCCATTTACAGTTTTTCATAAACTTTCTAAATTCAATAATAGCACTAGTCTGTCCAGTCTTAAAGTTTCTTACATATAACAGCTTCTTAATGTTTAACGTGTCAAAATTCTGTCAAGAGATTAATTATTAACCTTTAGTTTAAGTTTTCTGAGACCTTAAAGAAAATAACAATAACCACAACAGAACACCTACACACACACACACACTATAAATACATCAACTATATATATAATGTCATTATTAATAAGCTGTTACACTTCTTCCCTCTGTTCTCACATTAGAGCCAATATCCACAAATTCAATTGTGTTTTCAAACGTCACTCAGCCTGAACCAAATGGATTTTGTACAGTTTTTCTGGAGTGCAACGCAAATCCTCACAGCAACGTCACTTACATCTGGACTGTAGGAACCCAAACCAGAAACGGCCCCAGGCTGCAATACGCCATTAAACCACAAGATGGCGACACCACATTCACCTGCAATGCCTCTAATGTTGTCAGTGAGAAGTTAGCATCTGAAACACTGAGATGTAGCAACACCACAGGACCCACAGGCTCTAATGAAGGTATGTTCAGAAATATGAATTCTTCTGTTTGACTTGTTTGTGTGTCAAGTTCACATTTGTAAAGAGAACATAGACCAGTTTTATCAAGAATAAATCGACACGATTCCAAATAAAAAAGGAAGTTGGCGAGCTATTAAGTTCTGAGAAAAGGGGATGTTGTCACAGTTCTTTTAATCATAATAAAATACAGTTTACATAAAGGCTGTATTACATGTTGGGTTAAATGTGATTCCAGATGAAGGTTTGATAAATACTTTAACATTTATGGGAAATTTTTATGCTTTTTCTGACTGGACTTGTAACAACAATGTGACACTCTGCACTCACCTGAAGTAAGAAGACACATGTTCATTTATGCTGTAATACAATAATGA